GAATTCGCTTCTATTATTCCGTTTGATCAACATGTTGACGGTATTGAAAAGAAAACGAGAAATGAACTGAACAGACATATCCGTAAGGTCTGGGAAAATCTCTGCCAAACTAAAGAATATTTGGCCTTTCTGTGAGCCATGTGGTTTTTAAGTATGCTAATGTATGACCTATATGAGTACAAAGACCTTAGGAATAAGTCGCGCAAGCGCAAGAAAAAGGGATGACTTGGGTGGGACGCGTTACCGCGTCACAATGTCCCACGAGGTGCGCAAAGTGGGACGCGTTACCGCGTCACGCTGTCGTCAACGTGTTAAAGCGTTCAAGATGAGCCGCTCACTTAACACTGACGACAGCGCGGGGGACCATGACCTGATTTTGTTGATGGTTAAAGACGCAAGTATGGTCGTGGGAGACTTGTAATCTCCACGAGGGATATTTTCCTTAGGCCAATTTTCCACACAGGCGGAAGTGATGTAGTGGCAAGTGGCACTGCTTACCACGCGCGCGGTCCGGGGATCAAATCCTGGTCGCCGGGCCAACCAAGCCTTCCATCCCTCCGGGGTCGGTTAATTGGTACCAGACTTGTCTGGGAGGATAAAAACACTGACTTGTACATCGGCTGGCCCCCGCAAGTCATTGTATAGGCCACATCGCATTCAAACGCCACTACGAATGTACAAATGGAAGTAGAATGCGTGCCGCATCCCAAAAAGGGATTGATCAACGGCAAATGCTTTATCTTGTATTTTTCCACATTGCACACATTCGTCCGTGGCAAAAAAACGTGCATTGCCATCGGCACGCGTTTCCGCCACTGTGTGTAGAAATGTGGCATAACTTTAGCAAAATAATAAAGAATGAAGGTTCCAATGTTGGTCAAGATCTTTTGGGATGTCACGCATTGCATGTCCATTCAGAATTGTAGTGACATGTTTATAGGGTGTGACCTGTAAAATAATTTACGGAGGTCGGCCGATGTTCAAGTCAGTGTTTTTATTGTACCGGACAGGTCTGATATACAGTTATTGCTATGTAATACATTGAGGAATAATTTTTGTGGTTCTTTATATAATGTATGATTAGAAAATTTGATTTTT